TTTTTTGGTTCCGCATGAAATTTAAAGTAGTTTTTTCTAGTTCTGTGAAGAAAATCAATGGCAGCTTGATGGGAATAGCATTAAATCTATAAACTACTTTTGGCAGTATGGTCATTTTCACGATATTTATTCTTACTATTCATGAGCATGGAATGTTTTTCCATTTGATTGTATCATCTCTTAATTCCCTGAGCAGTGGTTTGTAGTTCTCCTTGAAGAGGTCTCTTTCACATCCCTTTTAAGTTGTATTTCAGGGCATTTTATTCTCTTTGTAGCAATGGTGAATGGGAGTTCACTAATGATTTGGCTCTCTGCTTATCTATTATTGGTGTATAGGAATGCTTGTGATTTTTGCACATAGAATTTTTTTTCCTGAGACTTCGCTAAAGTTGCTTATCAGCTTAAACAGTTTTGGAGCTGAGACAATGGGGTTTTCTAAATATATAATCATGTCATCTGTAAACAGAGACAATTTGACTTCCTCTCATCCTATTTCAATACCGTTTATTTCTTTCTCTTACCTGATTGCCCTGGCCAGAACTTCCAATACTATGTTGAATAGGAGTGGTGAAAGAGGGCATCTTTGTCTTGCTCTGGTTTTCAAAGGAAATTCTTCCAGATTTTGCCCATTCTATATGATATTGGCTATGAGTTTGTTATGCATAGCTCTTATTATTTTGAAATATTAAACTTTATATTTAAACAGCTTCCAAATTCACACCCATAAGCCCTAAATAGTGACTTTAATCAAAAGTACTCTGAATGAATAGCAAGGCATTGAACAGCTGGAAGTCTGTTGAGTGTGTGTGTATCATTCACAGATAAATCTGATTTTCAGTCTTTCATTTCATATGGAAAACAGAATTTAAAAACAAGATAATTTGGTATCCAAGCTGATAAACCGATTCATTGTAAAGCTTCATAGGTGAGCAGAGTTAGCAGTGGAAAATAATAATTACCATAAGTTTCGAAGCCAAAATTTCATAAATATGGTTGGAAAAAGATAACCAAAACTGAAATGGAGCCAAATTGTACTTAAGGAATACAGATTACAGGGTTATTACTAATAATTAAAATGTAGGTAAATAAATCATTTTATAAATTGACATTTGTGTATTTCACAGAATTATGCTACAGCATATGTTTACTCAAAATATATAAATCAATAGAGTAACAAGAAGTAACACTATTTTTTAAATAATGCTCTGTTTACAGAGAAATAAAAATTGATGAGAACTGCAATAAGATATGCCTAAGCAATACAAACTGTAGAATGTCATTACTGGCCAGAACGGCAAGCATGGGCCTAAAAGAAACCCCAGACAAGTCAGTGAGGCTGACCATATAAACACAGTCCAATTATAAACACAATAAAAGCACATGCCATTTGGTTCATGCTCCCTAGGGGTGTGATAGGGTCATTCCCACTATGTCCACTTGCCAGGTATTCTCTGGTGACGTGATCTGGAATAGGTAATGGGAAAAATACTGCTCTTTAACTCTTACAAAAAATGAACTCAAAACCTATATTCACGATTTCTTATTTGAAAACAAAGAAGCAAAGTTCAGGAGAACATAGGATTAAATGGACCTTTTATACCCACACTGTATGCACAATCATGCCTGTACACACACAGCACAAATATGTGCAAATTCCCTTGGCTCTCAGCCTCAAACCCTGCTTCACATGAGCTAACAACCAGGACTCATAATAAAAGATCTGGCCACCCCTGAAATGTTTCCAAGAATGTCAGTAGAGGGGAGAGCAGTCCAGTAAGGTCAGTGATACAGAGCAGGTTCACCCACCCTTGGTTTTTCTCAACTCCTCCACAAGGCAGCGGGCTTCCTCTTGAACTCGATCCTCAATGCTCCTCTTCCCCATCCCAAAATTCCGCAGTGTCATGAGGGAGAAACGCCGGATCTCCTTCCATCTCTTTCCATTGCTGAAAATGATTCCTAACAGGAAGACAAACAGAAACTAGGAGGGAGATCCCAGGCAAGAAAGAGGAAGCAGCCACGTGGATGGGCCAAGCTCTGCATGAAAAGCTCTGCTAGTCTGTTTTCCATCCTCCCCATCCCCATGACTTATGCTGAAATAGGCACATGCACACCTACCAAATCCTCTGTTAGCTCTGTCAGCCAATGGAAAATGTCCTCTTCCGGAAAACTCCTCTCCAAGATCAATCAGGGCTTCCTTCACCGCTTCGTATCCATGCAGCACCACCATGCGTTCCAGGCCAAAATACAGAGTGAACACAGGGCCATAGACTTTTGAGAGCTAGAAAAGGAGATACAGGTAACAGCAAATAAAGTCACTATTTCATCCATTTACTAAGCCTGACTTAGATTCATATTTTCATTGTATTTGTATGCTTTTATTCAGTCATACAGGCTCAAATATTTCTGAATTATATATATAAACATGATGATTATTATTATATTTGCCACTCAGATGGCCTATGATGTGCAAGGCAATGATCAGACAATTGCTACATAGATTACAATTAATCCTCACATCAACATATTCAGCAGGTCTATTTGCTCTGCTTTAAACAAACTGAGCTAAGAGAATGACAAATTCATTTGCAGTGTCCCACAGCCAATATACAGAAGACCCAAATTTGAAACTCCACTTACTCAAACACTCATGCTTGAGAAATTTATCAGCAGCACTCTTGTGTCTACCTTAACACAAATATCCAGCTTCAATAACTAATAATTTCCTGGTCTAATAGCCTTTTATGATTAGCATGCATCATAGCATTTACAGTAAAATCACCTCTCTATGGACTCCACCTAGGACTCCCAAAAGCCCATGTAGAGGTCCCCATTGCTGGATCAATAGTCCCCACAGCAGTACTCCTAAAATTAGGTGGCTATGGGATTATACGAATCACCTTAATCCTTAACCCCCTAACAGAGTTTATAGCTTATTCCTCCCTCATACTATCCCTATGAGGAGTAATCATAACAAGCTCCATTTGTCTGTGCCAAACTGATCTAAAATCACTCATTACTTACTCTTCCATAAGCCACATGGCACTTGTTATCATGGCGATTCTCATTCAAACCACCTGAAGTTTTACAGGCACAACTGCCCTAATAATTGCCCAAGGACTAACCTCATCTGTACTATTCTGCCTTGTGAACTCAAACTACAAAGTACACAGCCAAACCATACTAATAACATGGGGCCTTCAAACACTTCTGCCCCTGATAGCCACAAGATGACTCCTAACTAGCCTTACCAACCTTGCCCTGCCCCCTACCATCACTCTAGTAGTAGTTTTCATAACTATACCTCATTCTCTTGGTCTAATCATACCAGCATGCTTATAAGGTTTACTATACTATGCTAATCGCAGCCCTTTACTTTCTGTATGTGCTAATTATTACACAATGAGGGGTATTCACATATCATATTAACACTGTTAAACCATCTTTCACTTGAGAAGAAAACCCTAATACTTATACATCTTCTACCCCTCTTCCTACTATTACTAAACTCTAAGGTCATGTTGGGGTTTATATATTGTAGCTATAGTTTCATTAAAACATTGATTTGTTGATCCAATAATGGAAGTCTATAACTTCCTATCTACTACTTATCTGCTTTTGCTGGTCCTGAACCCACAGCTATTTCCTTTACAACAGGCATAAATTATTTCTTCAGAAAAGTTCAATTTTCACAGCTATTCTGAATAAAACATATGGCTAATATAGTAGAGGACCTACATAATAAAATCTCTAATAACAAACACATTCCTTACCATTTACCTTCAGCCAAAAATTATAGCAAATGACTATGAAATAAAGAAGGAACACAACATTTCAAACTATTGACACTTTGTTATTTTGAATCTAACATGCAAAGACCTAAATCTTTCTCTACTCACAAAATACATGATTGCATTCCACTATTTCTAACCGTGACAGACTCAGTTATGCTGAGGTTTCACCTCTGCAGTGATGGAGAAAAGGCAACAAAAGCCTTTCAAAGTATTTTACTTTACAATGATCTCTTGTAACAATGTACCTCTAGGGATATATTTTATTCAAAAACTACAGGTGAATTTACTTACCTTTTGCAAGCCACTGAAGGAGCATACTTACATTGGTTAAGGATTTGCTGACGTCCTTAATATCTATCTGTAGGATATTTCCAATCACTGGGAGAGGAGTGGGGCCAGGAGGGAGTTTTCCTCTCCCAGATCTCTGTCTCCAGAGTGAAAGGAGAAGCAAACAGGAGAGACAGAGCACAAGGACCACAAGAGAATCCATTGAAGCCTTCTCTTCTTGTTAAGACAACCGTGAGCTTGCGCTCCAAGCCTTTTATAACACTCCGTGCTAATTCAGTGTGTGCCTTTTTGACGTATAAAGTGACCAATCACCTAGGTCCACTATATGCTCCTTCTGAAAGGACTTTGACCCCCTGACAAAGATAAAAATAAAATGTCCTTTGGTCTTGTTCTCCTTCATTCCAGTGCCCACTTTGGAGCCTAGGTATTGGTAATTTAAAAAAAAAAAAGTTAACCCAAGTGGTTCCAATGCACCATCATAATTGAGAGCACTGAAGTAAATAATCTGATGCAAAAACAATTACTCAAAATTCTGAATTCTTAGATTAATAACCAGTTGGGAATTTATGATTTTGAGGGAAATTGATGTATTCTATGCCTTGTATATTTTGAAAGTATGTCAATGCTATACAAAGATTAGGAGACTTTTTCCTTTAAAATGAAATCGTCTATTTAATATAGCCTACTAAAAATACAGCAGCCTAAACATGAAATAGCTAACATAACTCATATATCTTAAATAACCAAACATATATCAAGTAAATTAGCTTAGCAGATATAAACACCCTTACCATTAAACCCCCTGAAAAAACACATGAAGCCAGGAATTGTTATTTTTTATTTTTCAAATGGGAAAAGGGAGACCCTGGGAGAACAGGACACCTGTTAGTGCCACACAGCTCATAGCTGGCAGAACTGGGATTTGAGCTGAGGTCTTCTGATGCCCATCATGGTGCATTATCTCTTACATCTAGAGATGCCTTCAGAACAGAAGACCCAAATTCGAAAAAAAAAAAAAATTGTTTGCTAAAACATAACAAACTTCCAAACATTAGTCATTATGAATATATACCACTTTGATTCTGTTCATAAAACAGGATTCACATTAAATAGAATCCCTTATTTATCTAAGCAAAACAGCCCCAGGGATGCTCATGAGAAAAAATAAGAGTTTTCCCTTCTCCATCACTGCGGAGGTGAAACACTCAGTGTAACTTAGGGAACCGCTGATCTCGGAGAATTTGGTGCTAAGGGCTTGAGAAACTAAGGCTTCTTGACCTCCCGGTCACCTCCAGACACGGCTGCTTTCTCTTGTTTTTGGTCTCTCATTTTCAAAAATAATGTAATAAAGCAAAGCAAGCATAGGAAATTATGGACAGAACAACAGCTGTGAATCTAATAGAGGGTGGGAGGTAGGGAAATCACTAAATGGACTCATAGCACAAAACCACCTCAATGTGTAGACCTTAATGGGAACTGACATTTTGAGTTGAGGGCCTAAATACAACTAGAAAGATACACTTTACTAGATCACTAATGACAATACTTATGCAAAGCCATTTTCTTTAAAGATATCATCATATTTGTTCTAAATTCCCTAATGAGGTTATTTCCAGTTCTCTTATTAAGAAAAATTAAGTTATGTTAAGACACAATTGCACAATGTTTTACTGGTCATCTTTAACAGGGATTCTAAAAATTTACAGAGAATTCTCACACCTCATGTCCCTTGAGAATCTCTCAATTGCCTTTGGTTACAATAAAATTGACCCATTTCAGGAATGAGGAGGCTGAGCCTTGAAGATTCAGTACTGTAGCCAAGAACATGGTGTCTGCTGCTGCTAGAGCTGAGACTAGAACCCATAAGCCCTGCATCTTGAAGGTTTCATTTCAAGCAAAACATTCAGTTCAATTGAGTCCACAGATATTTACTGATTGTGTAGTAAGGTTCAGTATTTTATGATTCAGTCTAGTAAATGATTCTCAAAATAAACATTAATTTCGTTAATAATTACAGCCCAAATTGACTAGATTGGGGATCAGAAGAGTTTGGTTTTATAACCTTTAGTACTTGGATAAGTCAAAGGCCTTGGAGAACCCTTTATACAGAGCAAAGAAAAGCAACAACTTGGTCCCTGACTCATGTAACCCTGAACTCTAACAGAAATATGCTACCTTATTTTGGGTAAAATAAACTTAGTTGCTCTCTTTAGAATAATCATTTCATTCCTTGAGAGCTAGGTGTCCCAGCTCTGCTCCTCCTCTCTTCTGTTGAGCTGAGGCTTCTCCTTAGACCTTTCAGTGTACAGAATGAAAGAATTATAGATAATTTGAAGACATAAGGGATCTCTGAGATCAACTATTCTAAACAGGATTTGCTTTGTTTTTTTTTTAGAAATGAGCAATTATTGATTCAATGAGACAGTATCACAATGCCTCAGTATAAGACTTAGAATCCCAGTTTTTCAATTCCAGGTTCAGTGACATGTTGTATCCCATCTCATAGAATTCACATCTCAGTCCGAATGATCAGGGGAGTATCAACATTAAGCCCTCCACAGTTACTGAGTAACACAAACCTCAGCTTGACTAGAATGGTGGGTTAGAGTAGGTTTTAGAAAAATGTATTTCTTAACAACAGTTTGGGGTTTCCAGCAACACTAAGTGGAAAGTATATAATTACCACATGCCTCTTTCCCTGCATCCATACACAGCCTCTCTCACAATTAAGAACTCTCATAGGTTACAATCAATGAACCAACATTGATACATCATCATCATCCAAAGCTCATAGGTTATATGGGGTTCATTCTTTGTGTTGTACATTCTATGGGATTTGACTAAAGCATAATGACATGTATCCACTATTGTAGTATCATATAAAACAGCTTTACTGACCTTAAAACGCTCTGTGCTCTACCTCTTCACCCTCTCTTCCTTGTGAGCCCTAGCAACAAATAATCTTTGCTGTGTTGGCATAGTTTTGCCTTTTCCAGAATGTCATGTGTTTGGAATCATACAGTATGTAGCCTTTTAAGATTTAACTTACTAATATGTATAAAGTTTCTCCATGTCCTTTCAAGTCTTGATAGTTCATTTCTTTTTAACACTAAATAACATTCATTGTATAGGTTTACCACGTTGTTTATTCATTTATCTATTAAAGAACATCTTGGTGATTTCTAATTTTTGACAATGAAGAATAAAACTGCTATAAACATCCATGTGCAGATTTTTGTGTGGAAATATATTTTTAATTCATTTGGCAAATGCCAAGGAGCACAACTACTAGATAACATAGTAAACATATTTTAGTTTTATTAGACACTGCCCAACTGTCTCCTGAAGTGTCTGTACCATTTTGCATTTCCACCAGCAATGGCTAATAGTTCTCATTGCTGCACATCCTTGTCAGCATTTGGTTCTTTCAGTGTTTTGAATTTTAGCCATTGTATAAGTGTGTGATAGTATCTCATTGGGGTTTTAGTTTGCAGGTCCCTAATGACATTTAATGATGAGAACTTTTCATATCTTTATTTGCCACCTGTATGTCTTCTTGGGTGAGGTATCTGTTCAGATCAGTTGCCCATTTTTTTAAACAAGGTGTCTGATTTCTAATCATTGAGTTTTTAAAAATTTTATATAGCTGTCCTTTATCAGATATATCTTTTGAAAATATTTGTCCCAATCTGTGTCTTTTCATCTGATCCCCTTGATAGTGGTTATCAGAGTTTCATAGTTTTGCATTTTATATTTAGAAGTTAACTTTCATTAAAGATGTAAGGTTTATTTCCAGATTCATTTTTCTGTATGTGACTCTCCAGTTACTCCATTAGTCTTTGTGGAAAAGACTATTTTTTCCCATTGAATTGCCTTTGCTTTTTTTTCAAAGATCACTTGACTGTATTTCTGATTATCTATTTCAGGTTCTTTACTCATTTGCATTAATCTATTTGACTATTTTTTCATCAATGGCACACTCTATTGATTACTGTAGCTTCAAAATAAGTCTTGAAGTTGAATTGGGTAAGGTTAATCATTTGACTTTGTTCTCCTTAACATTGGCTGTTCTGGGTTTTTTGGCCTCTCCATATAAACTTTACAATCAGACTGTTGATATCTAAAGATAAAAAATAATTAAAAATAGAGGCCTCCCCCCAATTCCAGAATGGCTGAATAGGAGCTCCAATCTACAGCTCCCAGGGTGATCGATGCAGAACATGGGTGATTTCTGCTTTCCAACTGAGGTACTTAGTTCATTTCATTGGGACTGGTTGGACAGTGGGTGCAGCCCATGTAGGGCAAGACAAAACAGGGCGGGGCATCACCTCACCTAGGAAGAACAAGGGGTTGGGGGATTTCCCTTTTCTAGCCAAGGGAAGCCATGAGAGACTGTACCGGGAAAATTGGGACAATGCTGCCCAAATACTGCACTTCTCCAATGGTCTTGGCAAAAGGCACATCAGGAGATTATATCCTGTGCCTCGTTCAGTGGGTCCCATGCCTATGGAGCCTTGCTCACTGCTAGCACAGCAGTCCGAGATGAAACTGCAAGGTGGAAGCCTGGCTGGGGGAAGGGCGTCTGCCATTGCTGAGGCTTGAGTAAGTAAACAAAGCAGCCAGGAAGCTCGAACTAGGTAGAGCCCACCACAGCTCAGCGAGGCCTGCCTGCCTCTGTAGACTCCACCTCTGGGGGCAGGACATTGCTAAACAAATGGCAGCAGAATTTTCTGCAGACTTAAATGTCCCTGTCTGACAGTTTGAAGACAGCAGTGATTTTCCCAGCACAGTGTTTGAGCTCTGAAAACAGACAGACTGCCTCCTCAAGTGGGTCCCTGAATCCCATATAGCCTAACTGGCAGACACCTCCCAGTAGGAGCAGATTGACACCACATACAGCCAGGCGCCCCTCTGAGATGAAGCTTCCAGAGGAAGGATCAGGCAGCAATATTTGCTGTTCTGCAAAATTTGCTGTTCTGCAGCCTCCACTGGTGATAACCAGGCAAACGGGTTCTGGAGTGGACCTCCAGCAAACTCCAACAGACCTGCAGCTGAGGGACTTGACTGTTAGAAGGAAAACTAACAAACAGAAAGAAATAGCATCAATATCTACAAAAAGGACATACACATCAAAACCCCACCTGTAGTTCACCATTGACAAAGACCAAAGGTAGATAAAACCACAAAGATGGGAAGAAACCA